ACTGTACTTAAAATAATGTAAAAATTAAATAATAAAGCACTTAACCTGTTTCTTTGAAGTTGGTGCTAATTTTTGTGGTGTTGCAATTTTTAGGTCGAAGTAATTCTGAAATTGAAGAAATCAGTTTTGATTCTGCTCGGGAGTTCGCTTCGATTTTTGCACAGGTACGTTGTCTAATTATTTTTCTTGTCAAAGTTGCTATCATATACATTCAGCTCTAAGATTTGAGCTCTAGCATCTTATGTGCTCTTTTTTTCTTTTTCCTTTTTTTAATTTCAAATTGTGTATCTGCATCCAATCACTGTGACCTCTGCAATATGGTGTTTAATTTTATTCCCAAAATTAGCTGATGGATTGTCTATTCATTGGCTGGAATGTCCTGTTTAAGCAAATTTCATGAGAGTAGAGTGTGCTTGCATCGTATTAGATTGTGATTTAGGGTATTGTATGAGGGTATTGGATGAGAGTGATGTTGCCATAGACAGATTAATCCGAAATTCTGTGTAGTAAATTTGGTAAATCTTCTGATGCAGCACCCTTAGATAGCCTTTTACACATTCTTAACACAAGCTATATAGTAAACAATATTTTACATCCTAGTTTCCCATGAGAATTCTACTTACTACTTGCTAAAATTCTGTTCTAGAAACCAGAGACTAAGATTCATCCATTTGTTTAATTTTCGTGATCCTTATTTTTATTTATTTATTTATTTTGATCAGGACAATTTAGAGAAAAAAAAATATGATCTACAGAGTTCAAAAACAAAACTTACAAAAGGTGATTCTCACTTAACCAAAAATCTTGACTACTAGACTGGAGCATGGGGATCATGATCCCTATCTTTATGTACCTTTATGGTTTGAGAGTTTGGAACGGTGATAAAAATGTATTCTGACGATCGAATAATTGAATTCGCGTTTACAGATTTTACATCTTCTATATGACAATGGCATTGTACAACAAAATGCTATTTTCCAGTGGGCTGATGAGAAGTAATTTGCTCATGAATCAGAAAGAGTTTTTGTCAATCAATCTACAGAATTCTTTCGAGTAAGAGCTGAACTTAATCTGTTATAACATAATTCCGGTTTTGTCTCAGTTCTTATTCTGATTTCTGAATGAATAGATAAAAATACAAAATAAAAATAAAAAATTAATGTGTGAGGCTTCCATTATTTTTGTGCACCGGTATTGTGGGGATTCAATTAACAGATGTATGTTTTATTTTGCAGTGGTTGAGAAAAGCTTCCTCTTCTGAAGAAGGGGATTAGGGCCCCTCCAGTGTGATAGAACTTTTGATAGAAGTTGAATTGAGAGATTTTGTCCAAGAAATTTTATT